CACACACACACACACACACACACACACACACACACACACACACACACACACCCACACACACACACACACACACACCTACCCCCCAAATAAGCAAATAAGAAAAATATATATAAAGTTTCTAAACAAAATGGGGAAAGTAATGAATGGACATGTCTCTCTGTCTTCAGATCCACACGCAGCAAGCAATCAGTCCGAGTGACCCAGTTCTACGACAAGACAACCAACGAGCTTTCAGAATGTCTGGTGAGTACAGGCAGCATATGAATGTTTGTACTTTTGTGTGTGTGTGTGTGTGTGTGTGTGTGTGTGTGTGTGTGTGTGTGTGTGTGTGTGTGTGTGTGTGTGTGTATGTGTGTGTGCGCGTGTGTATGCGTATGTATGTGTGTGTATGCGTATGTATATGTGTGTGTGCGCGTGTGTATGCGTATGTATGTGTGTGTGTGTGTGTGTGTGTGTGTGTGTGTGTGTGTGTGTGTGTGTGTGTATGTGTGTGCATTTTGAAACACTTTAGTCGTCACTCTGCAGCTAAGTTAGCGAATTCCCCCCGGGGCAGTGCCACTGACTGAAGTGTCTTTAGGCCATTCCCAAAGTGGGAACATTTCTCGATCAAGCACAGTAGAACTGTAAATGGGCTGATTCATGTCACGCTCATAACTGTGCCTGATCTTCAACAGGGAGCTTCTGCTTTTTCTTTCCTAATCCTTACTATTGTCATTTTCCTCTACTTCTTTTGTATGTTTGTCACTCTCTTGTGACCTGCTATTTCCGGGGTGCCTTGACAGTTGTAGCAGACCTTGTGCTGTTGAAGCTAGAGAGGTGAACAGAGTAAGTCTGATTTCCAAAAAGACTTCTCTGTTGACACTCACCCCTTGGCGTTTATATGACCCTATGCAGTTGTGAGCGCCGTAAAACCCTCTACTATAATAATATAATAAGTTAGCGAAGATCAAAGTATGCAAAGGCTGACAACGGGACTGTTAAATAGGGCCGATTTTATTTGAAGCATGGGGGGAACATGAATACCTATAGATCTAGTTTGATTTCGGTTTTGATTTGGGTTTAGTCCGGCACTCTTTTCAAAGCAGTTGGGTTATTAACGAGACGACACTGATACTGTAACGTCCGTCTCCGATACGACTGGGCTACAGAAAGCCAGAGGAACGTGCGTCCATGTGTCTGGGAGATGAATAAAATAAATGGATGTCCGTGAGAGAGGAGATGAAGGAAGGAGGTTTTTTTTGTTGGTAATTTAAACTACATGTGCGCAACTAATATATTTCAACTCCCTCCCTCCTCCCCCCTCCCCCCAACAACAGGTCTCACCAAAGCCAAACAGTACGACTGGAAAGATTCGAACCTGGCCCTCTTTGGATCAGACTTGGAAAGACAAGTGAAAAGTAAGTATGCAGATCAAAGATCAAATTTTAAATTTAAAAAATAGGGAACAAAAGCAACCGTTGACTGAAATTGGTTACGAGATATTTTGACCATATTATAGTCCAAGCAAATATATTCGCCTGTGGGATAGGCAACAAATTTAACCTAGCACACTACCAACGAGAGCTAAAGAGCATTTTCTGCCTCACGCGATGAAGTAGTTTCCCATAGCACTCGGTACGATATCTGAAATTGGATGGATTTTAGGTCAAGCAGTTTGAGATTGGGGGGAGGGGGGGGGGCAAAACATAATAATAATAGATATCATCATTTGTATAGCTTTAATCCTCGTTCAACAGCAAGATCTCTGCGCTTCACAATCTATACTATTACCCCAGCAGACCTGAGAGTATTCTGAAACAAACTCAACTTCCTGGGAAACATACAGTGCAAGCAGCCATTTATAGGCGCTAAAACACTAACCTACTGACAAGATCTTTCGCTGTCTATGGCTGGGTATCCATTCCCACCTGAGTGAAGTGAGGAAAAGTTGTGTAAAGTGCCTTTCCCAAAGACACAACGTCGGGCCCGCGACTCGAATCCACGAACTCGCAAACCTCACGATTACGAGTCCGGTAGCCTAACCACTTTACTTTTATCTTCTTCTTCTGGTTCATTTTTAACCAAGGATTACATGGGTGTTCTGCCCTGCTCACGCCGGGGTGCACGGAAATGAGCGTGCTGATGAACTTGCCGGCAAAGCAGCACCCAAAGGCCGAATCATGCTCGACCCACCAATGGTGATCGCCAGATGCAAGGAGAGCCTTCACGACCAAGAGGAGACAGACTCCCACACACTCAGCACAATAAAAGGAAAGTGTGTGCGGGGCACAGGGAAAATAAGTTTGCTCCGAGGAGTGGTCAGGCGTGTCTCAAACCAGCTCCGCATGGAGACAATTAGCAGGAAGACTCTTGGGTGGACGCTGGAAAGGAGAGATGAGCAGCTATGGACATGTGCCGCCTGCTATGATTCTAGCTCTGGATCCAAGTAATTCTAAGTAATTCCAAGTAATTCCATCTTTAACCAGTTTTGGTTTCTCATCCACAGAGGAGTCGGCGCAGACAGAACCAGCGTGGAAGAATGCCGGGCAGAAAGTGGGGCTACAGATATGGAGAATTGTGGTGAGTGAGGAGGGAGGGAGGAGGAGGGGGGAGTAAGGGACGGAGGGAGGGAGGGAGAGAGAGAGAGGGAGAGAGAGAGAGAGAGAGAGAGAGAGAAAGAGAGAGGGGGGGAAGAGAGGGAGAGAGAGATAGATAGATAGTTAGATAGATAGATAGATAGATGGATAGATAGATAGATAGATGGATAGATAGATAGATAGATAGATAGATAGATAGATAGAGAGAGAGAGAGAGAGAGAGAGAGAGAGAGAGAGAGAGAGAGAGAGAGA